GTTAGTTTCTTTGTCATAAAACCAGCTGCATTAGTGGCGTTTCGTGGATAGATGTCTGTTCTTGCGTGCAGCAGATGACAGCACACGTGTGTTGGACAAACTTGGAAAAGATGGACGACGCTGACGAACTGRGAGGTGTTGACACGTAGCCGAGGCTGAACCTGTTAGGAAGTCGGCTGAAGTCAAAGCGGCGCAGACAGATGGCCGTGATGCTGCACTTCTCTGTCCATGTGTGTTGAGGAGAGAAATGACTGAGCTTTGATAACGACAGGGTTTTTCTCTCTCCATTTTCACAGAAGTAAAAAAAAACCATAAGAACAAGCCYAGCCGATCTTCATCTGCAGAGGCTCGAACACAAACGTCTCAGAGATGCTTTGAACAAACAACCAGATGAACAGAGAACAACGCAGCAAACAGAGTCTAAACACGGTTAAAATAGCAATCAGTGCAGCGAGTCTGACTGCAGTAGGGTCATTTTAGGCAGATAAAAACCAAAGTTTCTGCTATAATGTGGGAAATAATCCACCCCCTAAGATTAGATTTTGTAATAAACGCTGCTGGTGTAGTTAAAACTAAAGCTGGCGCTGTCGGCAGCCTGTAGGTACTGCTGAGTGATGAGCCGGCTGAGGTACAGCAGGATCTGGCTGTCCTCCTCATCCAGCCCCAGCTGCTCCTGCAGGAAGGAGCGGCGCCTGGCCTCCACCACCCCGAACCCCACGGTGGGGCTGACCGGCAGGTGGAGGTGGTGGGTGAAGGTGAACAGGAAGGCCCTGGCCGCGAGGTGACACAGCGTGCTCTGAATGTGGAGGAGGTAGGTGGAGCCGCGGCGGATGAAGGTGCGGTGGTCGGCCACGTTGGCGAGCAGCAGTCCGCGGTACGGCGGGCAGCGCAGGCTCTTCGCGTCGACGTCCAGGATGGAGATGTAGCGGCTGTAGCGTGACAGGGAGTAAAAGATGCTGGAGCCCACAGGAGACGCCACTCTGAGGAGGAGACAAAAACAATTACATGCAGAATTATAAATTCAGAATGCAGGCAAAGTTAAAAAATAAAGACAACTTTTGGAAAACGTGAATTTTTGAGCAAGACGTTTGCAAGAATTGTTAGAAGATGAGCAGAAAAAAAAATGCTGCAACAAAGTTTTCACATAAATACTCAAAACTATCATATCTTATTTGACAGTGCGGATTTATAATAAATGCCTCAAGATACAAAAATACAGAACATGAAAATAAACATCTGTGCAGGAGCCATAAATCTTTGCTTACGACACACTCCGACTAACACAAAAAAGTAAGTTAATGTGTGTTTGGTAGACGATTTCTTTGTTGCAACAATGGTTTTTATAAATCACTGTGAAGTCTGTTAATTTTCCTTCTAAACGGTGCCACATTTGTAAGGAACATGCATTTGTGGGATGAGCAGTAGGGCTGAGTAGATGGGTTGTGCACATGAAAATCTTCTCTTCCAAACAGCTTATTTTGCTGTTGCTGTTAGCTCCCAATCAGGTGCCCACTATAAGACTTATTGTCAAGAACAAAGAAAGAAGTAATCAACCAAACACAAATGTACTTACTTTTTGTGCTGCGTTTAGATTTACCTGTTTGAAGCATATCTGAATAAAGATCTAAATGGACAAAACTGTTAAAACCAAACCAAGTTAATCCTCTTATAAGTCATACTCTTATAAAAATACTGTAAGTATGTTCGATACGTCTAAATTTAAAGTTGATTTGAGGAAAAGAGAGAGCAAAGTGAGCAGKAACAGAAACTGATGGAGACAGATGTGCTGAATGAGTCATCGAGGACAGAGTCAGAGTAATGACAGAGAAAGGTGTGACAAAATACAGTACATTAAAATTAACCTTTTCTAAAACCTGTCTTTCAATGAGCGACATGTAACTAAATAATCAGCATTTTGAATTCTTTATCTGCTACAAGCTGCTCCTGTATGCAGTGGTGGGATGTAACAAAGTACAAGAACTTTGCTTCTGTACTTTAGTACATTTTTCATGTATCTGTACTTTACTTTAGTAGATTTAATCATGGGTACTTTCAACTTTTACTTCACTACATTTTACATTAAGTATCTGTACTTTTTACTCCACTACATTTCTGTAATGTGTACAAGTTACATTCACGTCACGTCACATCATGATTTTCCATTTGTTTGTTTAGTTTGAAAGTAATCAATGGTGGGAGGGGAATTGCTATAACTGGTCCACTGAACAAAGCAGTAAAATTTCATTAGACCCTCTTTCAAGAAGAGTGGGGCGATTCTGCATCACCTGCTGGAGAATCAGTGGCGACACTCGCACACCCAAAAGGGATTCCACCACAGAGTCAGCCAGAGGGAATGTGCCACTCATGGCTTTATTTAAAAGACTTATTCAAGTAAACCGGTTCGAAAAACTAGATTTGATAGAGGACAGCTTCTGTAGCTGTTGTCAGTGTCCGATGATGCACAGAAGTCCAAATGTGAGCTGTGTCACAGAGGGTAAACACAAAAACATGCAATATCTGCAGCATTGTTCACTAAAATGGCACACCATTGATGTATTCAAAATAGACATACAGTAGGCTCACTTCATGATGTGTAGACCATTAGGGAATACATTACGCAAGTACTTTTACTTTTAATACTTTAAGTACTTTTAAAACCAACTATTTACTTACTTTACTCAAGTAAAAATGTTAGTGAGGTACATATTTGTCTGTTTATCTGTACTTTTACCTTAAGTACAGCGTTTGAGTACTTTCTCCACTGCCTGTATGTTGGGTTAAGGTCCAATAATGTCTTATGCTATTGTGCTTCCATCACTGTGTATATTGTATGTATGTGTATTGGAGAGACATCATCTGCCAGAAACAAATTCCTTGTGTGTGTTAACATACTTGGCCAATAAAGCTGGTTCTAATTCTGATAATAATTCACAAAAAGAAAGAAAAAGAAAATATGTTCGATAAGTAAGTTAGCAACAACCTGTTGACTAACTTGCACAGTAGTTTCATGTTTCATCACCGTGCCTCATCACTGCTTCAAAATAAACAAAGAACGACGTGGAGTGAAAGGAGACAATGGGACAACAGCTTGAGAGGAAATTGTGGATAAAAGAGGAAAGGTCACATCACCAGTTTGACAGTATTAATCAGTATTTTTTTCTCCTGGTCCTTATTTCAAAAAGGTAATACCAAAAATTAATCAGTGATTATAGATATCAATTGATATGAAACTCTTAAACCGTGACACATTTTTCAGTCATATCACCCTGCCATAGTTTGAAAAAGAGTTACACAATATGTAAAATACTTTCTAAACTTCATCTTACCTTTGCAATCCAATGAGTTTCCACCTTTGTAAGTCGGTGAGGCTAAAGGGACAAGTCAGCCAGGCCTGAATCCTCTCTCCACACTTCCCGGGACCGGGCAGGAAGAGAGCCAGAGCAGCAACCAGCCGGCGGACTTTACCCTCATCGGACCCGTGCACCACCAGGGTTCTGCCACTCAGCAGACACCACATCACCTGCAAGGCAAAGGGATACTGACGCAGAAACTTCAAAGCACTTTGAGCAGCCTTTTTCCTCTGACGAAAGGTCACCGACCCCCCGTAATTAAGTMGCGAGGCAGCCCTGTCGGACCCCGTGGAAGCACTCAAGGTGCAGTCCAAGCCCTCCTCCACTGAGGAATGAGAAATCGCATCTCCAAGACCCACAGGAAGCTCCAGGCCAGCTGCAGGACTTTCAGAGCACGGGGAACCCACAGTGTATTCATCTTGGACTGGAAGAAGAGCCTGGGGTTCCTGGTTGACCACCAGGATTTGAGAGGGCTTTGGATAAGAGTTTTGTTGCAGGCAAGACACGACATTAGAGGCAGGCGCCTCATAAAGGAAACGTTCCTGGGCGATGCAGCATGCCGTGTCTATTGGAACCGGCAACTTGGACTCGCTTACTGCGTCATGCTCGTCCAGCTCAGACAGCACCTCCAGCAATGACACGGGGGTCTGGTTCAGTCCATCACTCATATCCTCCCCTGCAGTGGTCTCAACTTCCTCACTGCTGCTTTCCTTCCCCAAATCAGTGTTCTGGTCAGGCTCAGGGGTCAGATCAGAATAAGGGTCAGGTCCTTCTGAGATCAAACTGGCCAGACTCTCCTGCTTCTCTGCTTGATCAGTGCCGCTCTTATCGCTGCTGAAGCTTCCTTTGGTCTCCTCTGAGCTCTCCTGAGTCTCCAGAGTCTGATCTGAGGGGGAGGATTCCAAATGTCCAGATGTCTCCCTAAGTCCAAGCTCAGTCCCCTGAGCAGCGCTGGTCCCGGACTCAGAGTCGAGTGGATGTAGAGATCTTGACGGGCCAAGATCGAGAGCCTCTGGTCCAAGAACAATATAAGGTGGATTTAAGTGCACATGGTTGTCTATGGAATGATTCACAGCACAGAATGGTCTTAGTGTTCCTGCTTCATCCGCAGTGTTCTCATTCAGCTCCTCTTCAAACAGGAAGTTGACAACTTTTGTTTTCCTGCGCAGCGCCTTGTCCAGGCAGCGGGTGTACAGGAAACACAAATCCCCCCGGAAACTGCTCTCCGTCTCTTTCAGGAGCTCCACCGCAGCTTCGTAGAAGGTCTCCTCACACAGCTCTCGGAGGTTCTTCAGGCGCTTGTCAAAACACTTGGCAGACTTGGCTTTGATCAGCTGTGGCGTGTAGGACGGCCTGCGTTTGACACCGTCATCCTCGTCCTCATCTAATGGACTCTGCTCTGTGTCTACTCCTTTTAATACCCTTTCAATGTAACAAACAGGTTCGGCAAGCTTGGCGTATTTGGCCAACAGCATCTCACACTCGTTTAAACACTCGGTCATACACTTCTGGCAGGTGACGGCCTGAGGATCCCGGCGTGGACGGCGGTGGTAGGAGCAGATCTGCTTCAGCAGGTCTCTGTGTTCATAAATACACTTTTCTACATTGGCAAGCTCATTGGCCTTCTCTACGGCGTGGGCGGAGTAAATGCACTGAGGCCCCGCCTCCCTCTGTAGGCCCTCCTCTCGCTGCAGCACAGAATGGGTGTACCTGCAGAGCAAAAAGAAGCGAAGGGGTGCACAGGGTCAGGGCAAAAGGTTTTCAAGAGAAAACAGGAGCATCAGTTAAAAAAAACACCACCAGAGATGGTTACTTCTGTTTTTAAAAGCTACAAGGTTTTAGATAACTATGTTTGATTGATTTCCATTTCTTGTCACATTTTGTTTTGACTAATGCAACAGTATTTTGAAAACCACTAAATTTACCATAAAAATTTGTAGAAAAACACATTATCCTAGGATACATATTTAAGGTTTGTTCTCCTAAAAACTTATTTTTTTCCGAATACAGCTTTGCTTAATTTTTTTCTGGTGATAAATTATCCAAACAAACCTTGCTTAGTCGACCATTACCATTACATTTTTGTTATTGTTTAAACGTAATTTTCTATTTTGTTTTTTTTTTTTAGGTAGGAAGAACTTTTGAGAAATCAGTACCTTACCTCCTGTAATCAGAGGTCAGAGCGCTCCCTGTCGGGAGAATCAAAGGGTTTGTTATGAAGAAACCAAACTGCTGTGTTCACTACGAGATTAAATTAAAGTAAAATGTGCTTCATTTAGAACAACTCTGACATTTTATGGCAGCTCAATGGAACCAACTTTTATGTATTATTTTTGCTTTGAACAGTCAAACTCAGCTGCTTAGTGTGATTTATTGTCTGACATTATTTTGTGCACCTGTTGTAACACAATCAGACTTCTGTCTGTCTGATGCAAAAACAAGAGAAAATACCAGACATTCACAGGTGTGGCCGCAAAATCTTTGAGAAAGTTTCTTTTGTCATTTTGAGAGTTAAAAATTAAGACTAACCCACTTACAAAATGACAATAATTCAAACTATGTCTTTTGCATAAGCTACAGATGGGTCAGAACTCAGCTCTTTACCTTCTGCTTGCCTCACCAAAGGTACTTTCTATGTTAAAGTACAATTTTTGTTCTTTTCTCTCCAAGTATTTACACTATTTTTTCTGTTTGTTTTTTTTTTTTTGCTGTACAGAATACTTGAATATGGGGCTCCAAGTGGAAAAAAATCATATAAAAGGTTTAAAATGTTAAAAATGTCACCAACACATTTTCATTGTGTAAAATTCTAGTTAAAATTTTTCCACTTGCATTTTATTGTTATTTAGCTTTTACATTTTACTAATTTTTACTAAATGTTAAATCCTAAATCTCAATGTGTAAATCTAAATGCAAAAGTTAAATGTAAATGTTGTTGCTAAATGCTGAAGTTTACAGTTCATTATTTCAGAATTCAACACAGCCTTTGCTGTTGGTGCTTGGCTTTTGTGGTGATGTCATCATCCTGCAACAAAAGGAAGTGCTAACACTGCTAAAACTTTAAGACAAGACCTCAAACTTGCTGTAGCGGCCGGTGTCTGAGCTGCACTTCAAACGGCTGGACCACAAGTACCATTAATTTTGTTTTCAATGAACACATTTTGAATTTAAATTGTAAATGCATTCTTCAGCAGCGTTACTGGTTGCTTTTTTCTCAGGATGATGATTTCATAATAAAAGCTGCACACAAACTGCAAAGACTGCGTTCCATTTTGAACTTCCTAAATGTCTGATTTATCATTTAGCTGCAACATGTAAGATTTAATTTTTATATTAGATTTAGGATTTAATATATACATATAACAATTAAATTTTAATTTAGTAAAATTAGCTCAGAAAGTGAGCTAAAAAATGAAAATGTGTTGGTAGATAATTTTCTTCCCCTACACCTTCAGGTCAAACTCTCAGTCACTCACTCTTGGAAAGACAAACCAGTCTTCTGACACCTCTAAGTAATGCAGTCTGCGAAATTACGAACATCAAAGGCTGTAGTTTAGAAATTCTGCAGGTCTTCCCTGATTGATGTGCAGCAACAACTCTTCCTCTATTGCTGATGTTTTTCCTGTTTAATAATGTGTAAACACATTCCTAAACTTTCCAAAGCTGCAAAACTGCTCTTTTAAGCAGTACAGAGTGCTGGTGATTGTTTAATCAATACATTTGATTAGCAGTGCTGTGCTGCTACCTCTTAACTGTTATTGAAGCAATAAAGGTAGTCTATTTGTTGTGTGACTTTGGATTTACCAGACTTCTAACCTGATTGTAAACAGGTGGTTGGTTGTGTATTATAAATGAAGCGGTTTCCGGGTTGTAGGTCAATTGAGTTTGATTAAAATTCTTACTCAAGGTCCTGGAGCTTCCTCTGGAGTTCCTTAGCAAAGGCCCGCCTGTTCCCAGCTTTCAGACACTCGGAGGCCTGTGAGAAGCGAAGGGAAAGCTCCTGAAACTGAAGCATGATTTTCTTCTCGTCCGCCGCCACGTACGCCATGCAGAAAGGTCGCACAAAGCCCCTGGCCTCCAGGTCGTACAGAGTGAAGTGATGGACGTAAGCAAACGCCCCCTCCTTGGAGTCGCCCAGCACAACCCTGGAGTCCTCCACAAAACTGAGCCTCGGATAGCCACTGCCGGGCGGATGCCCCACAAAGGAGGCTTGGTAGTCCACCGACATGATGCGCAGCGAGAAGTAGTTGAGGTCAAAGGTGCCGCAGATCTTAGGGTCATTTGGGATGGTGAGGAGAGGCTGGGGACCCACCTGCTCGGAGAACTCAGAGATGAGGATGAAGTCTTTGGTGAACTTGGCGCAGGAGGTTTTGGCCCAAGGATTGGAGTCGGCCAGGGGGTGCAGGGGAACGGAGAACTCCTCTGGGAGATCCCAGGGTTCTGGGTTTGTCTGCCCGTACTCATCCTCTTTGGTGAAAGCTACCACATCCGGGGAGCCTATCATAATGTTGTAACTGAGAGAGGCATGAGAAACAGCAGCAGCACTGTTAGTCATAGAAAAGCTGTCGGATCGTAACAGTGAGGGGTAGACACATAAAGTCTAGTCAGACTGGGCATACTGGTACTGGAGGTGTTGATTTAAGACGAACTGGTCCACAAAAAATATATATATAAATCAGTAAGGCGGTCAAATGAGCACACACAATCCGTCACCCTGTAGTGGTATGTCAGTGCAGAAAAAAGGGGAGGAAGAAATAGATAACTGGACAAAATAATTAATACAACTCACAGCCTTTGTTAACCTAGAGGGAAAAATGAAGCGACAGTTAATAATTACAGCGTCCGAGCAGACAGCAGACGGTCACAACGCGCCGAAGAGGAACGTCCGACCTCCTGTTCCTCATGTCTTCAAGCGTCGAGTCCGTCAACATAACTGGTGTCTGAAGCACAAACATCGTTTAAAGACAGAAAACGCTTCGCCGACTGCTCACAACCAGACAGGCGCCATGTTTACCCAGCTGGACGCTGCCTGGTCAGGTGACCTAAGCTCCGCCCACCCGGAGGAAATCCACTCTGAAAAATATATTCATAATTTTAAAAAATAGCTAATTCAACGATTTACATTAAAAAACACTTAATTATCATAATATCCAGTTACTGACAGGCTTTTAAACTTTAGTACCTACATTTCTTTATACCCATAAAATGTCACCAGATAGAGTTTATATATATAAAACATAATGATTGCAAACATTAAAATAAATGCTACAATAATAAATTATGCGTAACGACTCATTGGTAAAACAGAAAGTAAAATAATTACAAAACAGTGTAACTGTTATCAAATAGCAGGATTTCCAGACGTTTCTCTTAAACAAAAAGCATTGACTAAAATAATATTTTATCAAATTTCTGAACTACCCGTACATCAGCATTATATTTCCTCAACAAGTGTAAAAAGATAAATGATCCCGGGGCATTTTTAAAGGACAAGATGTAAGTTCTGATTCATGCAGTAATGTTYCATCACAATTTTTATTTCATTTATTAATGTTTATAAAATGCAGTAACATAAATACAGTACATATGTAAATATTACAAAATTTTAATTCGTTTGTTGTTTATTTTGTCTAATTTTATTTGCGTTTGCCAGCGCAAGCCTTTGCGACAGTTTTACGTCCTTTTTACGGCAGTTTTTGACAAGCAGGCGGGGATTTTGTAAACACTACACAACTTTCCAAAAATGTAGTTGAAACATGTTTTGTTAATTTTAAATGTATAAAAGTAGTCGGAGTTTGTTTTGTTTATCGATTTTATCGACCGCGAAGTTATTCAACCAGTGTCCAGGTTTAAACTGTTTGAAAAACTTTTCTTAGAGCAATGATTTAGTTAGCCTCGTCAGCTAACACGCTAATAACAGCGTGGCCCGCAGCAGCGGCTGCTTCAGGTGAGAGCGGCCAGGCATGCTGATACTGCACCTCCTCGGAAGATCCTCGCTTCGGTCGGGTCTAACGCGGCTTCAGCAGAGGTGCTTCTGGGGGTCCCGGAGCGTCCGGTGCCCTGAAACACGGCAGCAGGGGTCAGACATGATCCGGAGCTGGGCTCAGATCAAGCGGGTCCTGTGTGTTGCTGAGAAGAACGATGCAGCCAAAGGGATCTCTGAGATCATGTCTAATGGCAGAGCGAGGAGGGTGAGTCCTGTCTCCAACTCCTTATAAATCACTGATAAGTAATGTTTCTGCTTACTCTAACAGCCCATGATCAAATAGCTAACCAGAAATCTAGTACTCTCTAAATGTGTCCAAACTCACTTGGGATCATCATAATCATAATAATAATCATTTGTGCGCATCAGTGCCTAGTATGATTAGGACATTATAACAATATAGTTATAGACATTCAAAGCAATCAAATTAAACATGTTTTCACAATTAAAGCCTTGAAATTAATATAGTTGACATTTTGTCTCTTAGACATAGTCTGAATCCAAATAAAAGTAGCAACATGTTCCTGTTTTTTTTTAGCAAAAGCACCAACCACAAAACTGAAAAAAAAAAAAAAAAGAAACGTGCAGTTGTCATTGGTATTGAGTAACCTCTTCCTCAAAAGCATTTATAATCCTTTGTTTGATGCAAATCTCACTGTTTTCTCTTTTTGTTTTAGAGAGAAGGACTGTCAAAGTTTAATAAAATATACGAGTTTGAATATCATCTCTTTGGCCAGGTAAGCAAAAACAGTAAAATGTGTAATTGTGCAGATATGCACCCTAACTACTGCCGTTCTGTTATTTTACAATCTTTATCTCGTTTTTCTTTCCATCAGAATGTGAAGGTAACAACGACGTCAGTGTCAGGACATTTACTTGCTTTGGAGTTTAAGGCACCATTCCAGAAATGGTAAATAAATGTGCCATTTTTTTGTGTGTGCAATCACATTGAAAGAGTTTATAGTTATAACAGTTTAATAGTTTTAATTGGTTTTTTGTTTTTTTGTTTGTCACCAAAGGCACAGTTGCAATCCTGTGTTGCTGTTTGATGCAGAGGTTGAGAAGTATTGTCCAGATAATATGATACAAATAAAGGTATGGCTACGACACGTCCTGCTAGGAATTCATAAAAAGGCACCAAAACACATATTTTTGCTTTTTATACAAAAATAATTACCTTAATATCCAGACTATATTCACTACTTTTTTCACATGTTTTGAACACTGGGGCTTAAACAATAATGCGGCTAATTTATAAGTCTTTACATTACGTGGCCGATGCGATTCAGAGCATTGCGCCTGCAGCTGTACAACTGAAAACACTGTGTACCATGAGATTTTCCTTTGAGATGTTCTTTATTATACATATTTGACTTTATATTGTTTTTCTCCTTTACTATTGCTAAAATTGTGGACAAAATAAATTAAGAAATGTTCTTTTGTGTCAAAACGTCCTGTAATTTCTTCTTTGTGCGTCATACCATACCATACCAACTTTARTTATAAAGCACTTTAAAACAACCACAGCTGATACAAAGTGCTGTACATTAAAACACAACATAATAAAAAAAGTTATTAAAAATGGTTTAAAAACAAAAACATACAATTTAAAACTAGATCCCGCTGGTGTTGAAAGCCAAATAAAATAGATGGGTTTTAAGACGAGCTTTAAAAGTCATCATCCTCTTGTGGACAAAAAGCTTTTTTTGCCTTCATCCCTACAGCTCCTGTAGGAGCCCAGCCAGCAGCTCACAGGTTACTGATCAGTCTACCAGTCATCTTTGAGTTTGAGCAAAATGCGTCCATAGAGTGACAGGAAGTTTTCTGAGCTGCAGGTTTCTTGTGTGAATCACTTTTACAGTGTCGCTTCATGTTGTGTTCCCTTTGTGGAGAAAAAGGAAATGACTTTATGAAAATCAGTTTTCACTGCACCCATTTCCCAGTCAACGTTTTGCAGCATTTTTGTTTCTTTGACATGGTTTCCATTACATTCTGCATAAATCAAATCCTTTTTGCTGCCTTGTTTTATGTTATTTTTTAATACAGTGGCAGTGGCACGGTATAATTGACAGTTGACGTTGCATCTTATGCCTTTCTCTCTGCGCCTCCTTCTGCAAAGGAGAAAGAGACACAGAAATGAGGCATTATTTAGTGGTTGCAAATCGCAGCCATAAATAACGTTTGTCAATATTTATTTAATTATTTTTACTTTTTGTAATCTATCTTAGTCAAATGCTTAGTCAATTGTTTCAAACTGCAGAAAGCTGGGACAGGAGTGAAAAAAACAGGCCAGTCCCGCACATAAGGGACATACCCCTGTGTGTGTCTGTGTGGCCTTGTTTTTCCTACATCGTGGGTACAATTTTCCCAAAAATAAAAAACGGCATCGTAGGGACCGGGCATTGGTCCCCACGGGTCCAAATGCAAATTACGGGTGGGGGGTTGGATTTAGGACCAAGTTGTGAATTCAGTTTAGGTTAGTTTTAGGGTCAGGTACCTGTGAGGTTAGTTTAGGGTCAGGTAGGTACCTGTGAGGTTAGTTTTAGGGTCAGGTACCTGTGAGGTTAACTTTAACGTTAATGGTCAGGGTTAGGATACAAAATTTCCAAAACAATGAATGGAAGTCAATGCACAGTCCCCACGGGGATATACAAACCAGACCTGTGTGTGTGTGTGTGTGTGTGTCACATTGTGCCCATTGGACATTGCGTGGGACAGGTGCGCTGTTTTTGTACATTATACACGTTGTGCTCATGTGACATTAGGTGTGTGGCGCCACGTTTCTATTTTTGTGTGCCTTGCATATTTGTGGCCTGTGTTGATGTGGGCCAGCTGCAGTGTGCTTGTTTTGAGTCGGTCCTCCGATAAATATCCAGCAGGCGGCCCTGAGTGTATCATCTTTTTGTATAACTATCTTATGTTACAATGTGGACACCTCCAGCTTATAGACAAGTGCGGTCTACATATGTACATTTATTCTCATATTATTCTTGTTATTTAGTGGGTGTGGCTTATTTTCAGGTGCACTCAATAGTCTGGAAATTTGAATGTTCCAATTGTATGACATCTGAATTCTGTTCTTTAATAATGCATCTTTTTTATTTTAGTTCTTTATTCATTTTGTTTTCTTTAGAGGACTCTGGAAAGGGAAGCGCGTCAGTGTCAGGCCCTGATCATCTGGACCGACTGTGACAGGGAGGGAGAAAACATAGGCTTTGAAGTGATTGATGTTTGCAGAACAGGTATTGTAGGAAAGCACGTCCATCTAAAGTCTGTTTGCAGAGTTTTTAAGGAAAAGCAAGTTGCATATATCTTTGTCTACTAAGCAGTTTTGTGTATGTTTTTTAGTGAACCCCAATTTGCAAATCTTTCGAGCAAAGTTTTCCGAGATCACCCCCAACTCGATTCGGAGAGCCTGCGAGACGCTAGCAGAGCCTGATTCTAACGTCAGCGATGCTGTTGATGTCCGGCAGGAGCTGGATTTACGAATCGGTAAAGTTTTAAAACATTTTAAAGTTTTTCCAGTGTTACAGAATGACTGAGCAGCTCAGAATAATCTGTAACTTACTTGTATATTCAAAAATCTACCACAGATAATGTCAATATAATCCTCTCACATCTGCATTCATCCTCTACAGGAGCATCATTCACTCGATTCCAGACGCTTCGTCTGCAGAAAATCTTCCCAGAATCCCTTGCCAATCAGCTCATCTCCTACGGCAGCTGTCAGTTTCCCACTCTGGGCTTCGTGGTGGAGCGCTTCAAAGCCATTCAGGCCTTCATTCCTGAGACGTTCTACAAGATCAAAGGTAAGGTTCCTTCACGCACGTAAACATTAGTTGATGATGTATGGTTTTAAATGTTACAGTTGTTTGTTTTTTGTTTTCCTGCATGTGTGTGTGTTTTAACTCAGTGCTTCATGAAGTCGAGGAGGACACTGTGGAGTTCAACTGGAAGAGAAACCGTCTCTTTAATCACACGGCTTGCCTCGTGCTCTACCAGATCTGCATGGAGGTTTGTACCTGTTAGTCTGAGCTGAGGGCTCTGATGTGTATAAATACTAAGTAGGAATGTGTAATACTGTATAAACGATATACAGTAGAAACTATATAAATTTGTCCTATGATAGAGATCTGTAGTCTACCGGACAACCACAGTGATTCTTTTTGATGACGTAACCGGCTGGAGTCAAAACAGAGGAAGCGGGAAGCAGCGTGGCTGAGAGCACAAAGGAAGAGCAAAAAGTTGCAAAACATAAATCATCTGGACCTGGTTCGGGTGTGTGAAAATGGACGCCGAACTGTTTACATATTTACGTGACGGCGCGTCGTCCGGTCAGCAACCGAGTGACCACACTGCCTGCAGCGGGAGGAGCGCGGCACATGTCACGGTCACACAGCGAGGCGACTGTCAGTAGTGTTGTAGTACTTGAAACCAGTCTTGGTCTTAAGACCGGTCTCAAGACCAGTTTTAGATGGTCTTGGTCTTGTCTTGGACTCGACAGCATTTGTACTCGGTCTTGTCTCGGAATTTTATTTCAAGACCAGTCAAGACTACAACTGTGGAAATATCACTAAATAGCCAGATTATTGTCCATTTTATTAGTTAACATTCTTGCTTTCATTGGATTTAAAATGTAGCTACTGATTCAAATTCAAACCTGACTCATTGCTATTTATGTATTTTTGTTACCGGCTGTCACCCATCCACATACCCCGTCACTTGCATGCAGCACTCTCGGAAAGTGAACCGTGGTTCTCTGGGAGCGGTAAAGGATGTCTTCAAAATTTTAAGTAAAAAATTTGGCTACATTATTCAGAAATAATATCATTGTAAAACAACAACAACCAGGAGAAAGTGTACAGCAATTTGTTCATTCAGCAGTGCTTCAGTTTCAGAGATGATGGGGGACAACGTCAAACTTTTATCGTCACTAACATTAACGATCTACCTCTGTAGCAAAATTCTTTCCTCTGTCCTCACACAAAGATTTTGTCAATATTAGCTCTACAAATTAAATTAGCTAAAGTGGGGGAAAAGTATTTAGTCTGCACCAGTTGTTCAAGTTCTCCCATTTAATAAGATGAGAGAGGCCTGTGATTGACATCATAGTTAGACCTCAACTATGAGAAACAAAATACTTTTTTCCCTCACTGTACATGTGTACAGAATACTCCATCATTTAGGGCACTTTTTTATCTGGTCTTGGTCTTGTCTCGGTCTCGAGACACTGTGGTCTTGGTCTTGACTTGGTCTCGGGTTAGGTGGTCTTGACTACAACACTAACAGTCAGTGTAGGCAAAGTCAGTGCGAGCTCCATTGGGACGCACAAAAGCTCGCTGAGTCTAATGGACCTCATTTCTCCTGCAGTCATAGCGCCATGCTGTCTACAGCGGGGAAGCGCTGTGGGAAAGGGTGACAGTCTGACGGTCTTTCAAAAAAAAAAAAAAKCTGTAAAGCATAAAGGGGATGATTGTCACCCTGCCGGAGCGCGCACAGATTAAACACATGGAGTGCAGAAAACGTAATCTACAAAGTGTGTAGAAAGGAATAAATACAAGCAATTTGTTTTACCACCTTAAAACGAAGCAGGTAAATCCAAACAACATCCAATGGATGCAGATATTACATTAAAGTTATTGTGTGATTTTTATATATTTGGTTTAACCGGGTAGATCTCCCTTAAATTTAGATTTTTTT